CCATAGAGCTAATTATTATTAAAATCAATAACAGAGCACTTCAATGTGCGTAAAGGCAGACTTATTCATAACCGTACTGAACATGGGAACGCATGTATTTATATAAATAAAGTATACTACACACACACACACACCACACACACACACCACACACACACACACTTACAAACAAGCAAACACATACACATATACGAACACATACACACAAACAAACACAAACACACAAACATACATATACACACATGTTTTTTTTTATAATTGTACTTATGGACAATATTTAAGTTCACTGAGTTCAACTGCTATTTATACGAAAAGAATAGAACCAGAAAAATCAGTAATAGTAGCAGTAGTAGTAGCAGCAGTAGCAGCAGTAGTAGTAGCAGTAGTAGCAGCAACAGTAGAAGTAGTAGTATAGAGTTAGTAGAAGTATAGTATACATGTAATAATAGCTGTAATGTTCGTAGAAATTTGACTGAGCGGATTTTTTATTAACGAACCTAAGCCATAACGATGGCAATAACAATGATAGAGCCATCAAAACAAACGATAGGACATTATAATTAAAGAAATCACAACCACATCAACATCTACTACAACCTCAACAACAACAATAGCAACAAAATAACACCACCAACAACAGCAACGTCAACTATAACATCGACAACAATAGCAACAAAATAACACCACCATCAACAACATCAACTACAACAACAACAATAGCAACAAAATAACACCATCACCGACAACAACTACAACAACAACGACTGCAACAACAGCAAAAACATCGACTCCATTCAAACGTTGAACCACATTTCACGTATTTATTGCCACCCCAGACTCCAGTTTGTGACCCAATAAGGTATTCCAACTTAAATGTATTGTTCACAGCGGACGAAGAAAACAAAACGAAACGAGACAAAAAAACGAAACGAAAAATACACCACAATCTAACATATAAATCCCACACGCACGCACACAAACACACACACACATACATACATACATACATAAATGCATATACACAAACATACATACATACACTCATACATACATACAAACAAACATTAAACACGGATATAAACACATTCGGCCGGGCTAATACAAACGAACGATATCGAAGTCTGTGATGGGTCAGGTTGCGATCAGTCGTGCATTGCCTAATATGGCGTTTTAGTGATTGTGTGTGACAAACAAATAAACACACACACTCATAACACATGCCTACACATACACGTAACACATACATACACACACCTACACACATACATTAAATCATTCGTAATGTAATGTGTGTGTGTGTGAGTATTTGTGTTGAAAAACGCATTTCAAAAATAAATATATAATAACATCGGTAATATAAACGAATATAGTTGGAAATACAAGTAACAATATAAATAACGAATGGTCTAGAAATAATAAACAACTTAACTAAACTTAACTAAAATATAATGAAAATAATATTGTGTTGATTATTGTGTTTGATTGTTGTTGCTGCTGTTGTGTGGAACAATTCAAAACAATACAATACAAAACAATACAATACAAATAAACTAGAACGTAAGAGAGAAAGAATAGAGTTCCTAACTTACCTATGTTCACTAAATTAACTCACCTACCTATGTCCAATTAGCTCAACTTACGAATTAATCCTACCTATTTGTACAATTACGAAGAAAAAGGTAAGAAAGAGAAGATAAAACATCAAGCAAACAAAACAACGAATGTATGTGTGTATGTATGTATGTATGTATGTATGTATGTATGTATGTATGTATGTATGTATGTATGTATGTATGTATGTATGTACGTGTGTGTATGTGTGTGTGTGCGTGTGTTACTAATAATATCAATAAAATAAACGAATAGGTCTAGAAATAATATGTAACAATATAAATAACGAATACTAAAAATACAACAATGTGTGTGTGTTTGTGTGAAAACCGCGCAACAATAATATCAGTAAAATAAACTAACAATTTTAGAATTAATATGTAACAAATAAATCTAGAAATAATATGTAACAATATCAATAACGAATACTAGGAATAATTAATTAACTAGAATAAGATATAAACGCGCAATAAAATAAACCAATAAGTCTAGAAATAATAAGTAACTTAACTGAAATACTAAACTAAAATAATATTGAGTTGATTGTTGTGTTTGATTGTTGTTGTTGGTGTTGTGTTGAACAAAAAACAAAAACAATACAATACAAATAAACTAGAAAGTAAAAATGAAATAATAGAGTT